GTTTTGTTAATTAGTCTCCACTTCACCGCTAGCTCTCCTGAATTTTCTTCATGAGTCAACGCTATTCCATATTGAGTCAAAATTTACAGTACTTCTACTTTTCAGAAGTATATAGCCTACTACAATAAAATTTGTTGCATCTATAACTCAGCATTTATTAGAAATATATTCTGTGCCAGTATATATACATGTGGTCTACGATGAATATAGTATTATGGATCACAAATATACTGTCATAGATATATATTACTCATAGATCTTGGGTTGTGGATGCATTCATAACTCAGTATTTATTAGAAATATATTCTATGCCAGTATATATACATGTGGTCTACGATGAATATAGTATTATGAATCACATATATACTGTCATAGATATATATTACTCATATATCTTGGGCTGTGGATGCAGGATCTATTAATATTTTGTTTTATAACACTGTAATAACACGACGTCTATAATTTCCAGCAGCCTCTTATACTGGGCATAGGCTGTCTATAAGCCGCTTATACCTTTCGCGACGTAACGCTACGCCCTTTATGTCGGTAATGTTGCTTATGTTTCTTCTTAGGGGCTGCAAAATGGTGTTTATTTCATTAAACGTTGACCTTCTCCATGTTGTTTTTGGACGGCCTCTTCCTCTATTACCTTGCGGGTTGTATACCAACGCCTGTTGACAAATTTCGGTGGGAGTTTTGCGAAGTGTATGCCCGATCCATCCAAATTTTCTTTTACGAATTTCAAGATTGACATCTCTAACATTTGTTCTGGTCCAAAGATCGTGATTTGATATTCTGTTTGGCCAGAAGATACGTAAAATTCTGCGGAGACAGCGGTTAACAAATACTCTCAGCTTGCTTTGTATGTTTTCTGTAACAAACCAGGTTTCGCAACCATACAGGAGAACTGAAAGAACGCATGCTTTAAAGATTTTTATCTTTGTGCTTAAACTATAAGTATTGGAGCTCCACACTTTACGAAGCCTTGTAAAAGCACCAAGGCTTTTACAATTTTTTTTGCAGTAGGTGGAAAGCATCGAAAGCCACAGTGTGAGACTTGAACCCACTAAAACCACCTCTTAGGAATGAAAGGAGAAGATTTCCACAGCAATGTGGAAACTTCATTTCAGTAATCATGGGAGAGAGGAATAAGAAACTAGATTTAATACCTAGTGAACTAGGCTCATCTAAATCAGAAAGCAAGGGCATGAACTACGTAGAAAGGACGATATAGAAGGGGAAGGGGTTACGGCTAACTAGCGGGGATTGAATCAACAATATACTTTGTGACTAGGGTCACGAAAGCCGCGGTTATATAAGGGGATAGTGGAGAGGTTATGGTTCACTTCATCGAAGTAGGGTGTCATGTATTGGGGGGGCCTATAGCGCAAAGCTAGAACAAGGTCTTTTGAAAGAGTGAGAGGAGTAGAGACGTCGAAGGGAAGCTCATGGAGCCGGGAGAGATACCTACGGGCGAGTGACAGAAGATACTCGTCAACACGAGTGATCATGGGATTGTTGTAGAGAGTTGATATGGAGAAGTTCTTTCAATTCTTTCAATTTGAGCGGAAGTGATGGTTGACCAAATAGGGAAAGAGTAATTACAACGCCTTGGTTTACACTACTTATCACATCTTGCGCTGTACCTCCATATTCAGATACAATACTTCCTAAATACTGGAATTTTGTCCTTCATTAATACGTACAATGATTCTTATATGTTTTAACTATAATTTTTTGTCTGATTATTCCGATCCATCAGAATAAACACTTTTTTGTGCTCTTTGACTCAAGGTTCCACTTATAATCACATGTTTAGCGTACTGTAGCTGTTGTAGCTACGAGTGTGCCTATTATAATCAGTAATCAATCGTTAATTATCAATTGTACCAGTTGTTAATTAATACAAAATTAATTGATGGTTTTTGTTTTCTGTTCAACCCACCGGCTGGTTGTGGGAATAATACTAACACATATATTAAATTTTTTAGTATTATTGTAAAAATAAATTGATGTGATTGTAGTTTTAATTGATTAGAAGTATTACTTCTTGCTCTACACTTTTATAAACTTTTTTACTTGTTCAAGTAGAACACATATAAAAACGCTCTCAAGTAACGAAACAAATTACTGTTGAGTTAATCAACATTTATAAAATAAAAGTTATTCATATTGAAAACTGCCAATAAATGTATATACCTACAGTAAACATGATATATGTTTTTATTTACAAATATTTAATGATTGATTCGAAACGACAAGTAATTTTCTACTGCACCAAAATAATTATACTTACATTATTAATACTAGGCTAGGTATTGCTTAAGAAAATTAAATAAATAAGTAACTTAAAACGTGTAAATGTGTAACATTAAATGATAAAATTAATGTAATTTTAGTTCAGAAAGTGTTTATTATATGCAATTAAGAAATTGTTCATGTGCGATTCTGTTAGGAAACCAAAACTACGAAATGCTTAAACAACGCTTAAAAGTGGTTTATTAAGCTTACTATTCTGTGTTTAAGTATTGCAAAATTCTTTTGCCAGTAATAAATATAAAATAAATATGATTTATAGTCGGATCGATTTTTTACATAATAATTTTCTTTTGCGAAATTAATGTATCGCACAGATTGCGTTGTAATCTACAATTTCGTTTTCAAATGCTCGAAATTGAAAGCATTTTTCTATGGCAACTTTTAGCCAAGTATGATTGCTCCGACTGCACATTGCGTTCCTTTCCAACTTTGCACATTTCGCGGGTTGCACAATTTTCAAACATAACTCCAAAGAAATTCATTTCATAGACCCATAACCACACAACGAGTTTTTCGCTCTACACGTTATTTTAGCTGAATTTAATCTTTTCGGCAACTTTTTACTTCAAGCGCTGCAATTTTAATTGAAATACATTTTTGTATTCGCTTTTGCAATGAAAAGCAGAAATAATGGAAATAAACTGCAAGTAAAATGTAATGCAAAAATTCGAATATCGTGTGAAATACCAATAAATTTATTAAAAGACATGACATTATTGCTAATCGCAACCAATTTCTTCTTCAATAATCAATTAAGTGTTTGTTTATATTAACTTTAATGATCGTTAACATTAAATTGGAAGTAATTATTAGGTTAATATAGTATTATTATAGATGTTGTTGTTATAATAACCCATTTTACATGTTTATTTTAAGATCTGTACTTATAATTTGATAAGGAAATAATTTTCTCAAGCACTTAATAGGGTAATTTAGCATAAAAATACTTGCCAATCTATAATATTAAAACCGCAAAGTAATTTAATAACTAAATAAAGACCTAGAGATTTCCAGCGCTATTATTAAACCTTTAATTGTAATACTAAACAGTAGGACTTAACTGACGGATAATTCATTTCTGAATTTGATTTGAATTATTGAACGATTTGAATTCTGAATTTGATTTGGCAATAAATCTGTTATTTACATGTCAATCGATTGTACTAAATACAGATCTCATACTTTAAGATATCGAACCTTATCTTGTCACATTGTAACATCTTACTGGTCATTGTTACAATGTTTTCTTAACGGTTATTCCTTTAATGGTTTCATTTTAAAGAGTATGCCTAGTAGTCCGAAGAGGATATGTAAACTAAAATAATAATTTCCTTAATATAACAGCTGATTTACTCATAGAGAAAGTAAAACAATGTTAATACATATACTTTTATCATATTCGTAAAATTAACTGAAATCAGTCCTTCCTTTTATACATCTAAACACATGTTATGCACATAGTTGTATCAATCAGATCCTTTTTATTTTAATAAATTAATAGTGATGGAATTCTTACTAGATATATTTTCTACTTGTTATTCTACAACTTCTTAAGAGCAGTAACACTTTCTTGGAATTAAGGCATTTCAATTTTAATTTCAGCTCTAATGGATTTTCTGCAGGCATGTCGTATTTCCTGCTATCTCTAGAAAATCTTCATTCGGCGCATAATATTTCTTACTTATTTGAAAGTAATATTTTTCTATGTACCTTACATAGAATCCAATTTCATTGATTCGTTTTCGACAAATTCACTAATATTGAACTCATATTCATAAAGAGTCCCTCTTTAAGGTTTCAATCGATTAATTTCGCTATTTAATACGCTAGTAGTCTAACTGCCATATAGATATATAGGTAGACAACAGCAGTGACTATATTGCTTTGTTGCATCATACTGATTAAAAATATGCACATAAAAATCTAGATAAAAAGTAATATATTATCCAAACTATTCATTAAATTATAATTTTTAATAAATATTTAAACTTTTTATACTTATTGACATTGAATATTTAAAAGTTACCGCGTTTAAAGTTTAATCGAAATTTTTCTTTTGCTCTCATTCTCAAATTTTTAATTTACATTGAAAACAACAACATTTAGGACCCAAGAATTGAACCCATTGTGATTAACTGATACCTAAATTTCTTATAAAGAATAATCAGTTTTTATAATTAAATATTATTATTAAGGACGTGTGCGAGTTAGGCTAAGTTAATGCTAAACCAAATGGGAGATTTTTTGGGATTTTTTACACTGCACACATTTGGCTATTTATCAACACGTATCGACACATCACTACATTATCGGCACAACTTAGAATTTCCCTCATTTAGAACGCAACTTAGCCTAACTCGCACACGACCTAAGTTAAATTCAAATCAAATTAAGTCAAATAAAGTATCACTACCTGTCAGGCGGCTAAAGCCATATCGTACATTTCTCTTCCAATTGTAACTTAATAATAATACATCACTACTATGTAAATTATATACATGATATGGTTTTGTAATAGTAATAAAATTTCATTCAATGTATCGTTGAATAAATTGACTAAATAATAGACATAAAAATTATATTATTACTGAGTTTATATTATTAATGAGTTATTAGAAATTAAAATCATATTATTGCTTATAAATATTAATATGTCATTATTATTTTAATTTTAATTATAGCAAATAATTATAATGGCGGATTTAACTCCAGTACAAGAGTACTATAAGGGTAAAACAGTGTTTATCACTGGTGCTTCTGGATTCATGGGAAAAGTGCTTTTAGAGAAATTGCTCTATTCGTGCTCTGAATTGAAGGAAGTGATTATAATTGTGCGTCCCAAACGTGGAAAGACTCCAGATATCAGATTAGAAGAAATGTTCAAATTGCCGGTAAGCTTCATCATATATAATCCAAAATAAGAATATATAATTATTTTGTAATTATAAAATATATTTTCATATTTTATTTGAATAGATTTTTCAACGCATTAAAGAAGAAAAACCAGATGTGCTTAATAAAGTGACAATTTATCAGGGTGATGTAACATTTGACTGTGAGTCATTGTAAAACTGTCATTAATGAAAACAATAATAATTAAATTTTTTTTTATAGCACTTGGATTAAGTGGTGATAATTACAAGCATGTTGTTGACAATACAAATATTGTTTTCCATATGGCTGCCACACTGAAGTTGGAAGGCAATTTAAAGGATGCGATTGAAATGAATTTGACTGGCACCAAACGTGCTTTGTGCATCGCAAAGGAAATGAAAAATCTTGAGGCATTCATACATTTGTCGACAGCATTTTGTAATTGCGATCAGGAAGTGATGTATGAGAAGGTGTACGAATATCCACATAAACCAGAGGACTTAATGCGTTTAGCCGAATGGATGGATGTGAAGTCTTTGGATGCAATCACACCAGATTTATTAAAACCACATCCAAATACTTACACATACTCAAAACGTCTGGCAGAACTATATGTACGCGATCACTATGAAACAATGCCTGTGATCATAGCCCGTCCAAGTATTGGTGAGTCATTAGCAAAGTTTTGGTTTTGTTTTTTGATATATCGCTTAGTGGAGAATTGCATAATCCTTCCTTATTTATTTATTGGTTGAGAGGTTAAAAGAAAAACTGAATTTGCCAAACACGTTTGTTCACTCACTGCAAAAAGACAAATTTTATTAAATCCATAAACAAACACAAGCTCTTAAAATTCTCTACAAGACATTGTTGTAAGCGTAAAATTCGTGACGATTACATGTTAGTTCAGCAAAGTGCACTTCTTTTTATATAATATTATTCAGTATAATTGCTAAAAAGCCAGTTATGATATTAACGTTTTTATATACGATATAAAACGGTTTATAGGATACTTAATTTTAAAATATTTTATTATTGTTTTACAACTCAAAATTATTCGTAGTCTGAGGACAAACCGACTGTTTCATAATTTTCCATAAAAAATTTTTACTAGTAATAATCGTTTTACTAATAAACAATTACATCTTAAAATTAATTATCATTAACAGAAATTTTGAAATTTTTTATATAATCAATTTTTAATAGAGTAAGAAAAATTTAGTTTAAATTGGTTTTATAAATAATTTTACACATAATTTTATAAAGAGTAATAATATCTGTATCACTAGATTAATCGTTCAGTATCTTTTTACATAACAATTTTTAATAGACACAACAGTTTAACTTAAATATTCACTTAAAGTAAATTTTATCATTTCGGTCTTAATTTTGTATAGTTTCAAATTACAACTGACTAAATATTGTTCGAAATATAATGCAATTATTATAAACATTAAAACATCTAAATGGTACCATACTACCTAGAACCTTCTCTCCTTCTCTTCATATCATTAATATATCGAGAGTTATTACGATGAAGTCAACATCAGGGAGGTATAGTACAAATAAGTGGTAACATTTCACTACATCAATACATATTTTCTTTAAAAACACGATTCTACGGCAAGAAAACTCTTATTATGCCTTAGCGTATTATCTCTAGCAATGAAAGAGGCATTTCTCATGTAGCAAAGGCTGTCCTAGTCCAATTAAGGTCAATGTATAAACATGTACTACACAGTTCCGTGTAACGCTTAAATACGTAACATAATAAATTCTCAATGAATGTCCCAATTCATACATTAATTTGAACCATTTTGATCTTTGACTTTGTTAAATTGACGTTATCATTACGACCTAGGCTAACTTTACTGTAATGCAATCCCTAGGCTCATCCCTTATTCTTATTATTTTGTTCTTCTCATTCCACCTTTCACTAAATCGTATCGTAACTAATATATTGGCTAAGATTGTATTGCAATTTCTTTCGTATTCCCTGCTATACAGATCTTAACGGTTTACAAATATTACAAATATTTAAAATTTAAACGAAAATGTATAAGTATCTCATTAGTTCATTAAACTTTTAAGGTTTAAAATTTGAATACTGAATGCTTAATGAATTTATAACACTGATTCCAGTACATCCCTATTTTAGTTATAAGAATACCAATTTAACGAAAACACTTTACATCTGTTTTGTAATGTGAGGTATGTGACCTTTATTGAATTGGTTGGTGGGTTACTTAACTTGTCTTTTCGCTGCTATCTCAACAAAATTTCATTGTCTTATATGATAGAATATAATCTTTATTTGCGAGGCTTGAAAGTTTCTAGTCATTTTATATATGATAGCATAGTTTTGTTCTGGGATATTAGTAGTATCCTGGAATACCCTACTTTGGAATCTTGACCCTGTTTAATGTGTTCGTTCACAAAAGTTATCGTATTTATATATTATAAAGGCTTATGTGAAAAAACTGAAAATATGAAGTTATAACGTTTTAATAACTATTATTCGTTTATATTGCAGATGTAGATTTTATGAGTTGTGCACTTAAGTTGAGTTATGAAAATAATTTGCCTTGACGATTAGGTCATGAAAAACCCCAAGGCCTCAGCAACGCGAAGCGTATAAAATATATTAAACAGATTTAATATAACGTATTACGATTTTATATAACTGTCAACAGTAAACTTTTGAAAATTTGAAAAAAAAAAAAGTCTTTTCGTTATTTAAAGGGAATACTGTTTGATACGTTAAGGACTGATTGCAGTGTCCAAGATCTACAAAGTAGTAATAGTTAACTTAATAATGTAATTACAAAGAATGATTTCAATATATAAAACGTAAAAAAAAATCTTATGATAGGTCTAATATTTACAGAGATACAGCAGATTCCACTTGAAAAAACTTCCAGTTTAAAAATTCTCTATATATCTATAGTTTTATCGGACTGGTTTATTAATATTTAAAAATTTCCGCATTTTTTAGTTTAATATTATTATTTTTTTTATATTTTTATCACTTTCAATCTCGTTTGCATATATCACGAAACAGACTCACTCTTTATTGGCATTCTACCCAATAAAGAGTTTTCGCTACTGCGAAAACTAGACACCATTAAGCGCCACTTAAAACAAGTAGTCTTACTGCTCAACGAGCCTCTTTAAGTTCAACTGTGGAAACTCAAAAACCGAACCAGTTTATTGCGTGGCAACATACATACACAGATATATTGTAACTGCACTTTGTATCTACATTACACAATGACTGAATTTACAAACATTTGTTTTAATTAAAAAATAAGACTAAAACAACAACAACAACTGGAAATGAAATCGTAACAGACAGCACGTGCAGATATTCTTGAAAAAAAAACTGTAATTTGAGGTTGCATGCCTCATAAGCGATTTGTGGGTTGTAATTACCTTACTTAGAGGTTACGCCCATTTTAAAATTGATACTTATAAAACAATTGTATAGGAATTATAAAACTTTAAATGATAATTATAATTAATTGATTTTGGTATGTAATTTACACTAACACATGAGTACATCACTTATTACCTTTTTGCAGTGTAGTGACAAACGTCAATCAGATATAATGCTAAATTCTTATGATTCTCGCAAATGATCGCTACTCAATTATTTAATTAAAGAATTCCTGCTTAATCGATAATTTAATACAAGTAAAAATAAATTAATTAAATAAACATATATATATTGTACAGTGTATATACTATTATTAATGCCAACAATAATCGTAGATAAGAATTTACAGTAATTTAATTATCTATTTTATTTTTTATGTTATATATTACATTTTAAAAAACTATTGTATGAATACTATAGAGCGTAAATAAGATAAGATGAATAAGATAAGATAAGTAAGATAAGATAATTGAGATAAGATAAGTATTATAACAGATACTGTGAGAAAACAGTATAACAGTGAGATAAGTATTATAAGATAAGTAAGATAAAATTTATTTTATAAATAGGATTTTTGAATTTCACAATAATAATTTTAAATGTATATAATGATTTCCTCATGTTATTAATTGCCAAAAAAAGATAATTTATCTTTGTGTACTTCCAGACTAATTTTACAAACATAATTATATTGTATATAGTGTTAGATACCATAGCAAGAATGAGGTAAAATTAGTCTTATAATTTGTGGGTTTAAATATGAAAATGATAGTTTAAGTATTTATATTTGCATTAAATTATTATAATATTGTAGATTCGCCCATGGCATATACCGCAGAAATTTTTGTTCAAATGTATATATACTAGAATATGTCCGCATTTTAATGTCGTAGATTCATCCGTAATATTAAACATTCCAAAATAATTTTTGTTAATATTTGCGAAATTCGATTTAAAATCACTCTATATGTAGTCAAACAATAGACAGAGAATAAACTTTCTGTCTATGCCTGTTGAGTTTTGGATTATAAAAAGAACTAATTTTTAGTAAAATATTTTCGTAGTCTGTCAAACTGTTCATCAATAAGAAAATGAAGATTAGTATAAGATCAAAAGATTTTGTAATCTTTTCTGGATTTAAATCTATATGGATAAAGTTTATCTTTAAGAGATTCTAAATTGCAATGTGATATTAAATTAACGAATAATTGTTAATATCATGAAACCAATTAATTTTCATCCACAAATTCAGTATATGTTTTTATATTATTTTTAATGATATCTCAAGAATTTATTATAGTGAAAGAAAAATTCCCGTGGTCCATAATTTCAGACATTGAAAATGCCTCCCTTGCATATTGAGCTAGAGAACATTTTATGTTTATTTTATATTTAGTATATTCTAATTTATTTTATACCAATTACGAAGTAAGCAAAGTGTGCTGAACCTAGTTTATGTTTTATTATTATTTCTAATTATTATTTTTTTTATTATTATTTATTTATTATTTTTATTATTATTTGTTATGAAATTTTTTATTTATTTTTAATTATGCATTATTTAATTACTGTTATACAATACTATTTTATGACATTTAATTATTTTGCATATTATTTTGTACAATATTATTGTTTGTAATAGTAGTACATATAAATTGTAAGCTGAATTTAATATAATATACGTACATTGAAAACATTACTATATCAAATTACTTGTATTAAATCATTTTCAATTAATATAACTGAGCTTCTAATGATCTATAATTTATGCATCTCCTATACTTTAAAGTTATCTAATAACCTTCTGATTGCTTCTTTTGTAAATGTAAATAAAAATTATTAAATTTAAGTTTTTATGCTTAAATATTTTTTGATTACTTTTTAAGTGTGAATTAAGTGTCAATTATCCACAAATGATGATCATTATTTGATCAGCAATGCTTGCACCAAAAAAAGCTTAAAATAAACAATGAACAATCAAATAAAATGATGGTTTTATCTCTTTATTAAAATATGCAAAGACAAACTATGGTATGCTAATTAATTCTTCAGTGCTTTCATTAAAAACATATGTGAATTATTTCAAGATACTTTACCAGCAAAGAAAGTGCTCAAATATCTGAAATCGATTCCAATTGTTATAAAAGTGAACACAAATAAATAACACTCAAGATAATTAATTTTTATTTACAAAATATATATTTTTGTACAATATAATATAATTAATATA